GCGGAGACGATGGAATCGTCCTCAGATGCGGCGGAGAAAGCGGAGAAAGAGTCTGAGGAGGAAGAAGCGATGGCTGAGGTGGGGTGGAGGCCAAGGAAACTGTTCCCTCAGGCCGCAGGGGCGCTGAGAGCTGACGATCTTCCCATATTGGAGGCCTCAGCAAAACTATTCCACCTCTAATGACTGACGGGCGAAATGGCTTAGGGCATCGATTGATGTCAGTGCCGTGCTTCTGACTGGGAGGCTCTTTTGTCAGGTTCACGATGGTGGCAGGATTTTCGGCTGCTCTAATCGCTAGTTTTCAGTTTTTTTTGTTTTTTTTTCGATCAACACCTGGCGGATGCCGGAGCAGTACCCTAACTAGCCACGGACCGCGCGCGATCTTTCCTACCTTGTCCTATCCTCACCGGTTACTTACACACACACATTTGCATTCACTTAACTACTACAAGTGTGGAGAGACCATTGGGGAGTTGTGTTCCGGCTGGGCCGATGCCTCGCTGGTGCCAGATGCCTGATTGGGGAAAACCCTGGAACCATAAGTGTAGATCGGCGCTATTCAGCGGACGATGATCACCACCATTTCGCTGAAAACTTGCTTTACACGCAGGGGAGTTAATTACTAAATCAGTTGACGCGCCCGGATACACGAAATAATCAGTTAATCAATGAATTCAGTAACTGATACAACGTTGGCATTCGTAGACCCCTCAGAATCATAGAATTTATGGGCTTAAACGCTGTTTTTTACACGCGGGGCCACGTAGTGGTTCCAATGAAATATCTAATTCGAAGGTTTTGATGACTTGTTAGGACCGCCAACTTCTGAAACAGTTTTTTGAACCCGATCCGTGATTTTCGAATTCGAAATACATCTGTTCCAGTGGAACTGGTATTTCATTATTTTTCCTCTTCCGCAGTTTGGTTTTTAGGCAATTTAGTGTTTTTTAAAATACCTGTAAAGATCTTAGTGAACCTATTTACTACCTCGTCAGTGATAAATACGAAGCACATTTCATATTTTTTTATTGCTTCGCGGAGCGTCGTATCACCCTGCATAAAAAACTGCATTGGTTATTAGAGAGTTATAGGAATTGTAATCCCTAAAGGTGCCTTGAAGTGAAATCGTAGCCAGCTCAATGCCTATACAGTGCTAAGTAAAACAGGGTCGCGATTAAGCCTTGTTCGTCCATTTGCGGTAATGGTACTCACTTTACCGAGTTACTGTTTGCCTACATCCCTGTGCACCGAGTGTGTTTATAAAGTAAACTTCCCGGTTAATCAGCCTAAAGCGGAGGCCCTCGACGACCGCAGGGAATCAAACTCCGTTCCACACATGAGCCTCATGTGGGAGGGGGAAGACAAGGCAGGTGGACTGCAATACTCTGCTTGTCGTTTGTAGGTTTTTTTATTGGTACAAAATGAGAGTTTCTCCGATTATAGCTCGGAAAATAAGTTGCATTAAAAAATCGAGTGACAGAGTACGTATATCCGGGTGAGTCGTTTGGTTATTAGCCCCTTAAATGTAGTGCATGGCCGGGAAGGGCGACATTTCTTTGTAGCTAAACATAAAATGTGGCTCCAACTTAAACATCGACTGGCGGGGTTTCCCTCATCTAGGTTGTCTTGCCTATCGTAGCCCGCCTTAAAATAGCTCCCGACGTGCATATAAGTGCACTACACTCTGACACACGTGTATGTATAAGTAAGAGGAAGAGAAAGGAAGGATCGCGCGCGGTCCATGGCTCGTTTGTTAGTACTGCTGCGGGATTCACTAGTGTTGGTCGTAGATACCACGCAAAACTACAGACATGCACTGCAAGGCGCTAGAATTCTCCTCCAGTCAGCCCAAGGACTTCGCGGTCAGAGGCGCTGAAGCGGCAACTGTTCTCATTGAGCACATCAGGCATTTTAAATTTTGAATTTTAATATTTGCATTTGTTGCACAAAGTTGAAGATAGTGAACAAGGTTGCGAATATATCACGAAAATATTTCAACACAGCACTCCTATCATCAGTTCTCATAACGCGTGCATTATTGAAAATCATTCCTGTAAACAACAGAACTAAGGAAACGGAAGTAAATTTAGTGTCTAAAATAAAGATTTCCAAAGGTGAACACCACAACAACAGAATAAAATAATATCCTGAACAAAGATAACTGTTGACCATTTTCTGACTTTTAAACAAAGCTTACGTATTCACAAGACGTCTCCAAAACATGTGATGAAAGATCACAATTAAATGTGGAAAAGATGACCATTAACTGAAACGTGAAGACAGCTACTTAGCGAGATATTCGACATTTGGCGCAAAAATTCAATGAACTATAAATTGAGAGTAAGTAGCATGGGCTCTGTTAATGGTTAACCAACAATCGTCCCTCTTCTAGAGAATTGACTAAGAAAGCATGGCAATTCTATGCGATTTGTGGCGTTCGCCACACACAGTAGTACCGATACGTCGTCGTTTGGCGCAACTCATTTACTTCGTTTTGTTTCGGACGATGGCTGTTAAAACATTTTAAGCGATATTTCATCCCCGTGTTTGGTTGCATTGTGTACATGCAAAGGAATAGTTATTGCAAAAAGCCGGGCCATCTGCTGGTAAACAAAACGGAAACTATTTGGACCCGGTAATGTTTCGCACGAGCTCGCTCGCTGTTGGTGAGTGGCGGTGCGTGATGGCTTGCGCTGTGTTGCAGTGGTACGGGGAGGTGCGGCAGCACAGTCCAGGCGCGCCGCTCATCCTGTGTGGATGCGCGGCCGACCAGCGCGGGGACGTCGACACCCTGGCCCGCCTCGCCCGGCGCCGCCGCGCCCCCGTCTCCTCGGAGCAGGTGAGCTAGCTCTCTCGCAATGCCACCACCTCTCATCCCTCCTGCCTCGTTCTCTCTTGACTTTCCCCTTCTCCACTTCTCTTGTATTTTTCCTTTCTCTCTTCCTGTTTCCTTTCATCACTTCTCTCCCTTTTTCCTCTCTTCCCTGCCTCTCTTGCTTTCACCCAGCTGTTATTCTTCCTCCACCCTTTCCCCCTCCTTCCCCATTCTCTCGTTTCATTCTTCCACCCATCTTCTTTCCCACCACCACCTCCGTTCACTCTCGAATCCCTCTTTCCGCCGCTTCCCCTCCGTTCTTTTGGTATTTCCCCGAGACCTTTCTCCCTTGTCCTCGCCCTCTCTTCGCGCTCCCTTACGAGTGCTTGCGCTTCCGTTGCAGGCGCTGCAGGTGAGCCGGCAGCTGGGCGCGGCCACCTACGTGGAGACGTCGTCGCGGACGGCCGGGCGCGCGGTGCGGGACGCCTTCGAGGTGGCGGCGCTGGCGGCGCTCGGCAAGCTCAACTCGGCGCCGGCTGTGGGCGCCCCCAACGGCGCCACCAACGGCACCAACAACGGCACCAGCGGCGGCGCCAACGGCGGCGGGGGCACCAACGGCGGAGCCAAGGCGCCACACCCGCTCAAGGCCGAGCTCAAGGGGCGCGCGCGCTCGTGCTGCGTCATGTGACGTCACGTGGCGTCTGGCGGGGACGCCGCCGCGGACGCGACCTCGTCGAAACCCTGAGCCGCTGAGGCCTACCCCTTCCCCTTCCCCTCTCCTTCGCCCGGGGGGCCCGCACCGCCCTGCGGACGTCTGTGGAACTGGCTGCACTGTCCTTCCCGAGTGCTTGGAACAACTGTGGGGACCTCGCAATTCTGGTATCGCTACTGCCAACATCCAATCAGATGAGGAGTTCGTGGTTCCAAGCTTACGAAGCACCCCTCGACTTCTATTTAAACATTGGGTGAATTGACCTTTGATCAGCTGGGATGACTTATCCTATCGGGATCTTTGTTGCGACTTGATTTTTGAAATTGAAACTCCCGATTGGATAACCGCGTAGCAGCTGATGGAACGTCAATTCGCCTTGTATTTAAATCGAAGAATGCGCATGCAACTTAATAGGGACGTGACTCCAGCATTGCTGCTGCCACAGTAAACGGATATCACTGTATAATGGGTATCACTGAACAATAGGATGTTTGTGACTCAAGCTTTTCTTCCTTCCTATTTGTGAAACACCTTCCGAGCACGCTGTTGGGATTTCATGGTTCAGCATTGCAGCTTCCGAATGGAGAAGAGACACTGAATCAGTGTGGGAAGTTCGTGCCTCCAGTTTTACTAACCTTCCCTACTCCTCGAATAATGTGGGAACTTCGCGATTCCAGCATCCCAACTGCTGCAATACACAGAACGCTGAAACAGTGTGGAAAGTTCGTTACTGAAGGTTTACGTGCTATTCGTGAAGAATCATTCAAGCAGCACTTTTGGAAGTTCATGGCCCAGATTGTAGAAGCTGAATCAATTAGAGAGTAGTGAATTGCTTTTGAAAAATTGTGATTCCACCTTTGGACTAAACTCTTCAGAGTTCTATAGGAAGTTTCTAATTTTAGCTGTAGCAACCGGAAACAGTAAGGAATACTCAATTAGAATTGGAATCAAGATTTACTTCCTTATTTCCTCCTTTTTTGTGGAGTACCCTCCGAGCAGTACTGCTGGGATCTCCTGGTTCAGCTTTGCAGCAGCCAAGTGAAATAGACAACCTTGAATCCAATGGGAAGATCGTGACTCCAGCTTTGGATGACCATTTTCGGTTAACCATGGGAAGTTTCCCATATCATTGCAGTGGAAAATCCAGAAGACTACTTCGAGGATCAGATTTGTGGGAAGTTCGTAGATTCACTACCATCTTTACCAGTGGAACATCAATTCTAGAGTGCTGTGGGACGTTCCCTCTTTCAGAATTCTCTGTGCCGATTTGCGTAAAGAACATTGGAGATTAGAGCGAAGAATTAGCCCTCTTGTTTCTACTGTATGCATTTCTGTGCCCTCAGAAGGTGTTACATTTTTTTTTTAAATTCTAGCATCTGGTCTACCCGAATCAACGGAATACAGTTGAGAAGTGGGGAAATAACTTCGTGCCTATCATTACTTCCAGTTCAATTATCGTCTGAATGCCCAGCAATATCACTAGCTGAAAGTCTGCTTTTTAGTTTATTTTAATCTTCATTGATATCTCGATTCTGAAATTTTATTCTTCCATTGTTTTATGCAAAAACGTTTTCTCTTTTGCATTTTTGCCAGCAGCATTTGTTGGTGCTTTTGCAATCATTGATGTAATTGGAAAAGGTCAGCCCTCGCAGGCACTTCCCTCGAAGAATCATCCATGCTGAGAGCACTCTTAAGGGAACATTTCTCGTTCAAGATTATAATACCTCACGACGGACAAAGTGAGTGTGTGGTTTGAAAATGATTTATACATCAGAGTATGAGCATGTCCCAAAGAACACGAGATGCATTTCCGATTTTGACATCTCTGTGATATTTGATGCCGTTGCAATCAATGACACAATTTGCAAGAGAGGCATACTCCAAAATGTTTCCCATGCATATATCATATTGCAACCTAGCAAAAGATGTGACTCTCACTAGTGATATCCAAATATTTTCACGATTTAGCAAATTTTAAATCGACTTTATTTAATCCTAGTATATTCGCTGAGTTGCGTGAATTCAATTTTGCGGATCTTTTAAACCGGGCTTGGCATATGTCTCAAGTTTACAGAAACAGTGAATTGGTATGGAAGCGTCTTAAAAGCACTCGTGACTTATTGGAGCAGTAATACTATTTTGTCACAATGCCACTCAGTAGTGATTTACTGTTTGTCATATGTGTGTGTATGTGGGTGGGAATTTGCAGAAGTTAAAAATGTTTACCATTGTATGTTTTAATGCATCACAACAGTTCCTCTTGAAAATAAACACATTTCCTTACAAATAATTGTAAATCCAAGTGTTGTAGGTGTAGTACAGAACCACAGTATGCATATACAATGGATACTTTTGAGTTGGACCATTGAAATAATTTAAAAATAACGCCAAAGTGAAGAATGTGTAGTTCAGCTTCAAGTGGCAAGAGAGATATTGTGATGAAAAGAGCGGTTTGTGATCAGTGTGCCTCAGTTTCGACGATTAATCTCACCAGACGGCTTCTCTACAGACTACAAGAACTAGCTATACCAAAGACATTCGAAAACATTGTGTTGTTGTGGGCTTCCGGGTGTAAAAACATGTAGCTATAAATTAAAATAGTGAGTACAGATCTATTTGTTCGTTACATTTGAAAGATTGCCCCTGCATCAGGTAGTACGTAAGAAATCTACCCACAACAAAAACTAATGTAGTGTTTCACATTGAAGTGCTTATTGTCAAAAATAACATAACATTTGTAGATACAAAAATGTTAGTCCCATATCAAAAAATTATTGTGTTTGCAATACATATATTCTGATGAGTTTTTCCTCCTCCCAAATTTCAATAAAGAAAATCACATATGCAATCTGTTTATTAAAAGCATGCACAAACAGTAAGGTGTTTCCACTAGCAGAATACTAAGTAATATGTAATCACGAAATGAAATGTAACGTTCAAGAAGGTCTGTATTACACATACTCCTATTGTGCAAGTTGAGCAAAACTGCCATTTCGTTGCATATCATCTCTAAAAGGATTTCACTCAAGTATATTTGCATTTCATGAATAAACAAATCCATCTGCTCATTCTGGTGAATTTGTTTATGTGGAAAGCTTTATTAGACATGTGCATACCACTTCACAAATATCATAGTTGGTTTACTTCATTGTTGTTCTGCACTACAGATTATTTGTCTTAAGTTTCTTTGCTTAGGTCTATTTATGTACTGCTCCAAAAACACGAGTCAAAAAATTGCAGACAAATATCTGAAATATTTACGAAATCTCAGAAGAATTTTGAGAAAGCAAAATCTTTTAATGTAGGCATGTGCATATTTATTATTTATTAGTACAATATATAAATAATATAGTAAATAAAATAATTTAGTGGATATGGGGCCCAGAAATGTTTTTGTTCCCCCTTCTTATTTTAGGCTGTGCAAACCTATGGCTTTTAGGATATCTACTAAATAAGTATATGAACTATAAGAAATTACATTTTTGGAGCTGTCTTAAATGTACCTACCAAATGTGAACATTTAATGTTTTTCAATTGGTGATTGCCTGATTCCAAATATTTATTAATTAACTAAATTTACCTCAGAAAAGCGTTTCTTAACTTCTTAAATCTCTATTATTATACTCCATTTCAGACTTCGTTCATCATTGTGCAGCAAATATATACCTTTCCAGGAATTATTTACATCTAACCATGTACGATATTAGGTTTCTATTTGAAAACCATTGACAATAATTTTTTGTAATTCATTGTATTTACAATGTCTAAAAAACAGTGAATGGCAGTTCTTTGCAAAATAGATTTATTCAACCTGCACATGTGGAGTTATTTTCAACTTTCTCAGCCAATAACATTGCTGTTTGAAAACCTTAAGACTGTGAACCACTTTTTGAAAAATGCAAATGCGAAACAAAATCATGTATTCTTCATGGTCTAATATTAGTTTGTTGCATGAGAATTTTGTCACGGAACAAATCCATGTAATCACAAGCAACGAAATTGCCAAAATTTCGAAATTCTGTCAATTCTTCATTGGCTATGAAATGGTTATACTAACAAATTCAAAAGAAGATACAAATTTTTCTCTGTACAAACATTTTTCACTCTCAGGGTAGTCAAATAAATATTTTAAAAGGGTCTAATTATTTGAAAAAATTGAGAACAAAGTGGTTCACAATTTGTCTCTCAAGTGTTTTCATATACTGTAGAAATACACATTGGGAGGGAGTCAGGATCAAAAATCTGTTGTTACATGCAAGTATTTACCATAAAACTATTTTGCTATGATTCATAGTTGATTGGGGAAAAGGTTTATTACAAAATGATCACTCTATTCATAAGCAAATTAGTAACCCATCCATAAATTCCAACATTCATATCCTGAAGGTAGTGCTTAGAATAAAAAACTGTAACTTAATATGGCCCTCCAATAGATTGTTGCTATTTTTTTGACACAGTTTATGAGTGAAGAGATATATTAATTTCCTCGTATTAGTATGTAGTTACAAATGTAAAAAAGTTAATGTCAATATTGTGCACCCAAATTGTGTATTTATATAGGTATGTTAATTTTGTGTAAATATGTAAATTTAATACTAAGTAATGCTAAATGAGGTGTTAAAGAGAAGAATACGTAAACAATATATTGGAGGACATTGTGAATTATTCGTGATATAATCACGATTACTCTTTTCTATAATCATCATTTAAAAGATGATAGATTTATGTGATCTTAGATTATTCTTCTCAGAAACCATTTTTCATCATCTTATTGATGATATATGACTGTGTGAGAAAGAACAGGTTAATAATAGGAATGTGACAAGGTATGGAATAAAGGATTAAGTGAGAAGAAAAAATTCAAAATCCCGTGGTGAATAGAAAAATAAAGGGAAGTATTCTACAAAGATACACAACTAGAACCTTATTCAAAAGAATCATTATTGCATTTATCATATGTCAGTGAAAGTTCTTGTAGCATCCTTCACTATTTTAAGTATGCACTTGGTTAATGAATTTTTGATATTATCAGTCCTCAGAATTTCATGTTTTTATCTTCTTGGTCAAAACCACAATGTAAAATTCTACCAATCTCCCTATGAATTTCAAGTAACAAAATGTTAAAGTTTGTATCAAGGTAATATCATCTGTTAAGAATTAGCAATCAGCATTAAGAAACAGGCAAGCAACCTAGCAGACACTAAGTTGTTACAAAGTTATTTTAAATTCAAATGTACTGAACGATTTTCTTCTCTATTATTACTATCTCTCTTAAAGCTATTGTTGTTATAAAATTGCTATAATATTGTTATGAGAAGGCTTTTTTGAATCTACTTATAACATAGATCTGATGAACCACGCGGGGGGGGGGGGCAGGATGGTTTCTCATTTTTTCCATTCCCTATTTTGCTGTACAATCGCACTAAATATTCATCGAAGGACAGCACTTCACAAAGCAGTACATACAAGAGAATGCCTAAATTCCATATATCCACTTTAGAACCTAAGTATTTTGGCAAAGGATGATCGCTGGAGCAACTAATGCAGTTTCCACAAAATGTGAAAAGAAATGAGTCAAGAGCTGCCTGAGGTTTTGCACAAATTAAAAAATACATAAATTTCAAAATCTTCTCTTTATCAAGAAAGACATTTTCAGGTTTGAGATCTTGAAGAGTATAACATTTATAATGTAAAAATGCCACAGCAGATACTATCTGGCAAAAAACGAACAGAGTTGTTTTCTTCTCCAATCTGCCTCCTTTCACTACATGATCAAAAAGTTATCCTCCAGAGCAGTGCTCCAAAATCAGATAGCAATGGGATTCTGTTTCAATTTTTGTTAAATTTTGCAAATATTCTGATTAGGAAGATGTTTTAAAACCTCTAACTTCAGTTTTACATGAATATCATTCCCAAATTTATATTTTCCATAATTTTAATAGCTACATTTTCTTTTGTGAGACTACTAGTTTCTAATTTTACTTTATCAAAATCTCCACGTCCAATTGTGTGCTCCTCATTACAGAAATCTTTGAAAGCAGGAGAGCCATCTTTCTTGAATATTCAAAAACTATAAAATGGAATCATTATTTTTTGCATTGAATTATGATATTTACTCTGGCAAATTCGTCTTCATCACATTCACACCAAGTTATTGAAAAATCAAATGGAATTGACAGATGATATAAACCAAATGCAACTTTCATTTTTAATTAAGAGAGTATTTCAATTAAAGATTTGAGGAGCACAATTCCAAAACCCATCTTATTGGTTTTGGGGGGGATGGTAGATG